CTGCAGTGCACAGGGGCACTGCTCGGGGAAGGACCACTGCGAATCTGAGCGCTGCTAACTGCACAGGAACTTAGTGCTCCTTACAAACAAAAACACACACACAAAAGAAAACCCAGGCCTTAGGCATGACCTCTGAGACCCTGTCAACAGTTTTCTAGACTAGATTGGACAGGTTTTGTTTTTGCCTGAGAACCGTGATACCAGCTGGAGAGATACTAAGCCACAACTGCAAAGAATGCTTCCTGGGAATGTGCATTTGTACAAATCTACACACATCCATGAGAAACGCGAATCTGCCATGAATTTAATTAATTTAAAAAATACACTGGGGGTTGGGGGTGGGGATGGGAAAAGTGGTCAATGGATACGAAATTGCAGAGAGGTAGGAAGAATAAGATCTAGTGTTCTATAGCAATATACGGAGACTGCAGTCAGCAATAAAGTACCATCTAACTTCAAGTTGCTAGCTGAGAGGATATTCAGTGTTCCCAACCCAAAGAGGTGACAAATGCTTGAGGTGATGGACATGCTAAACACCCTGCTTTGATCGTTGCACACTGTATAAAGGTACCTAAATATCACATTGTACTCCATAAATATATACAAGTATCATGGGTCAATTAAGAAAATATAAAAAGAGGGCTGGCCCGGTGGCGCACTGCTACAGTGCGCCGCTTGGGAGCATGGTGACGGCGCTCCCGCCGAGGATTCGGATCCCACATACTGACCGGCCGCTCACTGGCTGAGCGAGGTGCGGGCGCAACACCGAGGGTTGCGATCCATTGCCGGTCACGAAAAAAGACAAAAAAGGAAAAAAAAAAAAAGAAAATATAAAAAGAAAAAAAATGAGAGACAAGTATATTAGAGGTTACAAGGAAGTGGAGGGAAGGGATAAATGAGCAGTTATCACTTAGTGGGTACAAGAGTTTATGTTTAGGATGACGAAAAAGTCTGGGAAATAGATGGAGATAGTGGTTATACAGCACTGTGAATGTAATTAACTCCACACAATTATATGTTTAAAAATGCTTAAAATGGCAACCCTGTTATAGATATTTTACCATACACACAAACACACCAGCGTTAACTACAATGAGACTTTAACTCGTTTTTCCAGTTTATTTCCAAGTCTGATACCAGTGGATTGTACCTGTCTTCAAGGGCACTTAGGAACTCCTCCTATGCAGAGAAAGGTCTGATAAAGTCTGATTTTAAAAATGGACCTAAATTAACCACTTTTATTGAGTTTAAAAATAGCTACTTCAACCGAGCATGCTACTAATAAAATAACTTCACTATTGTCTTTAACATGACGAAAATCTTAAATTATCTTATAAACTTACAATCTGTACACTAACTTCACTGCTTTTTAAAATGCTGGATTAAATCTTTCTCTGTATTTAGCAGGCATAGACAGGAAAAAAGATCCTGCAGATTTTCCCTGCCAGTGGTGACCAGCCATAGATGACGAATTTTACATTCTACATAAGAAGGATGTGGGAACTGAAATGCCAAAAATGCTTTATCATAAAGGGTAACAAAATACAGCTCTGTAATAACTACACTGGGTATACTTTTTAGCATATGCTTTGTGTTAATGTAAATTCTCTTATGACAAACAAGGTAACTGGGGTACCAAAAAGTTAGGTCCTAAACCTAAGACCTCACCTGTGGTAGCGGGAAGGCCTGGGTCAGGGTTCTGGTCACCCTGCTCCACTCCTGCCCTTTCTGATACGTGGCAGCCCAGCAAGACGCCAGCTGTGTGTGAGGCAGGTTGCAAGACCATGTGCTGATCTTCAGAAAAACAGCCAAAATTATGTTTGCCTCCAAAACCCACAGGCTGTACGCTGAATTCAATGATTGTACCATTGTTCAGAATGTCTCACAGCTCCTGTTTGGAATTGCCTTCCAAATTCACAGGGGTAAATCTTATATAGATTTTAATTTGATTTTTATTTTGTTTCATTGATGCAGTACCATTTCGTGTAAAACACTGTGCTGGGGAGACCCAACACAGTCCAGTACTCAGGTGGCCATTACTTGATGGGAGCTGGGGGTGGAGGAGGGGGGCAAGAATCCCCACTTGGGTGTGGGGCCGGCATCCTGGAGAAGATTGACTTGACCCCACAGGGGAGGAAGCATATGTGTCAGATGGATAGAATGTCACAGCCTGTCACATAGGTGCCACTTTAACTTGGCTGTCTAGCCCCCTGAACAGTCTCTGGTCATCTGAAGCTCTGGGCCTTTGCACCGGTTACTCCCTGCTTCTAGGTAGGCTTCTAGCCCATCTTTCAACATTGAGCTCAGTCACATCTGCAAGAAGAAGTCTCCACCCCCCAACACCCACCCTCTGATAGCTAGGGCTAGAGAGGGTGGAGAGGGGACTAACATCACCTGAGACCAACGGAGGCTGGCACAGTGCTAAGGGCTGTGCACCTGTGACCTTGTCTGGCCTTCCCAAGTATACTGTGACACAGCATCAATTGTCCTCATTTTACAGCCTTGGAAACAAGCCTCACAGCTATAGAGCCCAGAGGCAAACCCCATCTGCCCCTTCACCAAGCCTCACTGTGTTCCTGCCTGGCACATGTGACCCTCTAATGTCATTTAGGAGTTTCAAAGAAAGTCACCTCTGTTCTGGGAACTCAGAGCCTGAGTCAGATGGTGCCCTTTGAATACTCACAGAGAGCTGGGTTCGCTTTGGAAGGTGTGTGCTGTTAATTTGTGGGTGGCAAGGTGGGCTTCAGCCTTGCCTATGGCCAGTCCTGATCCTGGTGGAACAGAGCTGGCTTCATGGCCTGCAGGTGTCTCTCCTGGCTAGTGGCAACACAGCTACAGTGCAGATGGGAAGAGTTAGGGTCCTGCAGTCAGCCGATGCCCTCCCCACCCTCTGCTCACAGACACGTGGAAACAGCACCATGGCTGGGCCAGAGCCCAGGCCCAGCATCCTGCCTCCCACACTTCTCTCCTGGCCTCCCCTCCAGCTGTAGCTGAGATTGGTCTTACCGCACTCCCACAGCTCGCACTGCGGGGCTCAGGGTCACCGCGGGGCTCAGGGTCACCGCGGGGCTCAGGGTCACCGCCGCTTCTGCACTGGGCATCTAGTAGCTGCTTTACTTTCCTTTTCAACTCTGGTCTGTACTTCCTGCAGAAGCACTTTTGATTAAATTACAAATGTGATAACACTATAAAAATGCCTATGGAATTGAATCAACCCATTTGGGATATCATACTTACAAGGTTTTTTGATTTATAAAGAAATCAGGGAAAAATTGTTGCATTTTCTTATCAGGTTTATTACAGAGATGTGAAACAATATAAATATGAGACAAAACAGGGAAAACCCCACAAATAAAAACACCACATAGTACTTCTGTAATTCACTTTTCCTCACTCCTCGGCTGTCTTGGCCCCTTACCATTTGTCCCTCCTCACCTCTCAGGACTGTCTTGAAAGTCTCAATGGAGTCTGACCAGCTGCTATTCTCTTCCAAGGGTGACATGGAAGCAATTACAGGCAGAAAGTGGCTGCCATGAAGGTCCTGACCCTTCCCATGCTCATTCCATGACCCAAGCCTTGGAAAGAGGTACCAGAGTTAGTTTAAAAATGGCCTTTTACCAAAATTCTGTTAAATTCCAAGACGAAGGCAGCATGCACACACAAGTTCATGTGTGTTTACAACCTTGCGTGGGTGTGTGTTAAAACAGCTTCATAATGGGTGTTAGTTTTCCAAAGACAAAAAGCCAGCCCTAGGCAAACAGGGTGGCATTTACTAGCACAATGATCAGGTCGTGCTCATGATCTCTAGCATCTGCGATCTCTATCGCCTACATCATGGTGTTTGGCAAGCGTGTAACCGCCACCTCCCATCCGATGTGATATATAGACATCTAAAGCCTCAGCGGGAAGCCAGAGGGGTCAGCTCAGGCTGCGTGGCTTTGGTCTTTCAGCCTGTTGTCGAGCTATTGCCTGGAATAGTCCTGAAAATCTAGATACTTCTTTTAAGCCCTGGAATATTTCTTTTTGAAACACTTTGGGCAATTAGCCTATATTGTTAATAAGGGTCCACAACCCCTTATCTAACACTTTGTGGCCAGATGTGTTTTAAGAATTCAAACTTTTTAGTATGTTAGAAAGGCAAGATGGCACATACACGTTGTATTTTGCATATGGGGCAGCACTGGTAATCAAATTAATGATTCTGCAGCAAAATATATGCAAATTCACACTGAGATGAAGACATACAGACTATAAATAGCCTTGCATCTTTTCAGTCAGGTTTTGACACCACATGAGGCCAAATGGATCATGAAAACATGTAGTTTTCAGAGCTGTTTTGATTTTGGAATTATTTATATGTCTAGGCACTGGAGATACATTATTCAACTTCAGGGAGCTGCTTCTAATCTACTTGGGGTAAATAAAGCCGACCAACACTGAACCCCAACAAGTCTTTGAGCAGCACGTGATTAAATAGCTCTCGACGCCTGGCACTTGTGCATACCCTACGGCTTCTGCATGTGTTTCTCACTTTCCTGGACCGTAACCACACAGGGGCGGCAGCGTAGGTGTGAAAGGTGAGGGGATGTGAGGCCCGAGCAGTTAGGGGACACACTCAGCATGTGGCAGCATCTTCCGGGTCAGAATTCAACTTTTTCTGGCTTTTGGTCCAGTCCTGTGTCCAGTGCATCCTGCTGCACATTCGCCACAGCTCATCATTCAAGGCCCTTTCAAGTACAAGAAATAGGGTGAAAACACCAACTTTGTGATTTTATGTTTGTCTTAGAACCTTGTAAGAACGAGGGGGACTCCCGTGTGCCACAGAAGTTCCAGGAAGCAAGAGAGGCCTTTATTTGCTGATGTGAGAGGAAGATTCATTTGTGGGGGAAACAGGTGGGATTAGAAAATGTGCTCACCCCTAATAAAAATGGGCCTGGATGTTTAGATTTTCTGAAAAAGATAAGAAGGAAGGACAGAATTGTAATCCTCTCTTTCACGCCATGCTACACCCCCTCTTCCTCTTCCTCCCTCTTGTAGGATTGTCGGGGGGACAGTCGGAGGGGGTTTGTGGTGTGGTGGGGGGGCCACCAGGTCTGCTCAGTGGCCTCATCCTGAGGTTCCCTGACGTTTAGGAGAAATGCCCCCTCTGAAGGCTCCTGGACGGCCTGGCCTTCCTCACAGTGCCTGGAACACGAGTTCTCCCTGCACTTGCAGAATGTACGCCACGTGCCTCCTCCTGGGTGCTGCCTCTGCTGCAGTCCACCGGCCACGAGACCTGTGCCTCCTCCTGTATCCTCCCGTGGGTTCTCCTCTAAACACCTCTGATCCTCCTAGAGCCTGCTAGCCTAATAGGCCACACAGTTTCATGTCAAAAACAACATGCTCAAGGAACAGGCCTGCTAGAAGGGTCATTACTGTGGTGGACCCCAGGGCAGGTAGGGATCCCAGGTCCCGTCTGACTTAACTGTTCTTGGATGGGGGCATTAAAAGCTCTCTGGATGATCCTGAAGGTTAGCCAGAGTTGAGAACTGTGGGCCTGGTCCAGGCCTTTCATGCTATTGTTTCACGGTCTTGGCTTTTCCCAGGATCACCCAGATAGAGGACCACCTCAGGTGTCCCGACTCTGCAGACCCAGTCCTGGGCCTCACTGAGGAGGCAGTGACTGTGCAATTCTCTGTTGCCCTCTCACTGGGCCACGCTTCGTCCTGAGTGGCCTCTGTGGTCCACATTAGTGAGGTTTCTCTCAAAGGCTGGATTATAAGCGCCTGAGCGTGGGGACAACCTGTCCCCTTCTCCTCCCAGCCGAGCCCAGCACGGTCGGTCCCTCCCCTCTTCTGACCGACTGTTCGCTTCCTTCCAGTGCCAGGACTACCTGGGCGGCAGGCTCACAGGGGACCTCTGCGAGGACCTGTGTGTGGCGGGGAAGCTGCTGTACCAGCGCTGTCTGTACTACGACAGGGGCAAGAAGGTGCTGCAGGCCGAATGGCGTGGCCGGCCCGTCGTGCTCAAGTCCAAGGAGGAGGCCTTCTCCAGCTTCCAGCCTCTCGGCCTGCTGGACGGGGCAGAGGAGCGTGGCCAGGACGTCCCGGAGGCAGAACTCCTCCTGGTGGTGGCCGGGGAGGTCAGGAGCACCCTGGGCCTACAGCTGTCCAATGGCAGCCTGGGGCCCCTGTGGCCAGGCAGGCGGGGCCCTCGGTGGCGGGGGCAGCTGGCCAGCCTGTGGTCCTTGCTGCAGCAGGAGGAGTTTGTCCACTTCAGCTTGCTACAGGACCTGAGCCACCATGTCCTGCCGGTGCTGGGCTCCTGTGGCCACTTCTATGCAGTGGAGTACCTGGCCGCCGGCAGCCCCCGCCACCGGGCTCTCTTCCCGCTGGACCAGGCCATGGGCACCCAGGCCCAGGCCGTCTGCAACATCGCGCTCAGCTTCCTGGACATGGTAAAGCATTTTGACAATGACTTTTCCCACCACCTCCACCTCTGCGATGTCAAGCCCGAAAACTTTGCCATCAGGAGTGACTTCACAGTGAGTGGTGCCAGGCGGGTGTATTGACAGTGTGGAGCAGGGAGCTGGTGGGTCTGGGGGTTTCTGAGATCCTGGCCTCAAAAAGCAAACCACTGTAGTGTCTTGCAGCTTTGTAGCCACAGGTAACTGCCATCTCCTGGCCACTTCCTTGCAGGGGTGTTGAAGAAAGAATTAAAAGAAAACTTCCACCTTACATGACCCGCAGAGTGGGAATTTGAATGAATGGAGCTTATTGCAGGGGGCAGAGCACCCAGGCAAGGTCTGTCCGCCCCGAGGGCTATTCCAGTTTCCCCAAAGCAGCTCAGAGGCTTCATAGAGCTAAGGTTAAAATGGGTTCTCTTGAGGGTGTTTAACTCGTGGTATGCAGGAGATGAGGGGCTATAAAGGAGGGGGGAAGGATGGCCTACGGGGGCGATTGTGCAATGGCTCAGTTTGGGGATGCTGTTTTCAAACTGCCTGTGCTCTAGAACAGTGTGCAGCTTTTGCCAATACTTTGTTTCTGGAGAGGTTCTAGTTTCCATTCCATGCATCAGACTTCTCAAAGGATGAATGGAGGGCCGGCCCGGTGGCGCACTGCTACAATGCGCCACTTGGGAGCGCGGCGGCGCTCCCGCCGAGGGTTCGGATCCCACATACAGACCGGTTCCCGCTCACTGGCTGAGCGAGGTGCGGGTGCGATGCCGAGGGTTGCGATCTTGTTGCCGGTCCCGGTACGGGCGCGACACTGAGGGTTGCGATCCGTTGCCGGACACGAAAAAAGACAAAAAGGAAAAAAAAAAAAAAAAAAAAGGATGAATGGAGTTTTAGTGCCTTCCAAAGGGAAAAGCCTGCCCTGCTGGAAATGCCTGGCACTGCCCTGCTTCAGACAGGGCAGATGCGTTTTTATCTCCCACTCTGGGCAACACAGCGGCAGGAGCAACGCAACAAGGAGTAGCAATGAGGAGTAGCAAGTTTATTGTGAGATCATCACATCTCCACCCCCCAGCCTGGCTAAGACCAGCCACGTGTCAGCTGAATGGCATTACGTCAGGGCGCCCTTATGCTGGGGCATCGCCGTGATCTGGTGCTGGGGCCACCCAGTAGGAGGTGGTGACAAGACTGGCGTTGACATAGTGGTGGCTCTGCATCCCCCTGAACCCCTCTGCCCCTGCCATCGCAACAAGTTTGTTCTTACACTGCAAGTGCTGGCAGGTGACCAGCCAGACCAGCTGAACTCCCAGTGTGCCGGCCTTAGTGGGTTCTGGCTCATGGTGGAAGGATGCTCTTCATCATGGTCAAAACATAAAAGGGCAAAAAGAAGGTACCATTACTGCCAGTCATGGACATCCATGGCAGGTGGCACAGGAGTGGCATAGTCTTCTTAAAGCAGCTTGAAATCTAGAAAACTACATCTGCCACCCAGGTAAATCCCTTCCCTGATCAAGCCTGTGTCCCTGGGAGAGGCATCATAGCCTCCTGCCCTCATGGCTTTGTCCTAATATTCTGTCCCTGGCTGCCCTGGAGGGGATGACAAGCTGGGGTGACTCCAAGTGTGTAAGAGAAAGAGCTGAGAGGTCCTGGAAGGTTCCAGAAGGTTCTAGGAGGTTCCAGGAGAGTCCGCACGACACTGGGCAGGGAGCTCTGGAGGAGCTCAGCCCTGCCAGCAATACCCTGAGCTCCACACTACCTCCCAGACCCAATCCTGAGTTGTGAGGGGGGATGCCCCATAATTGGACCAGCTTATTTCTTAGAGCTGAGATGAAATCGCTGTCCTGGCCAAGGCTTCCCTATGTCATGAGCAGGAAGCATATGTAGTGGGGAGAAGGACATTGCTATCCACTTCAGAGAAGTCCTGGGGACACAGCCACCCTGAGGCACTGGGGGGGGGGCACTGTGGAGTGTCCACACACAACCACCCAGCTTTGGGCAGGGATGGGCCAGTTCTCATGACTCTATCACTCGTTTATCCATCCAGCAGGTGTCACTAAGTGTCGGTGAGGGAACTCAGGTGCCCCTCGACTTGGGAGAATTGAGAGGAGGTCTGCTTTATCAAGGAGCTGGGGCAGAGGGGTCTCCAATGTGGCATGGGCAACGTCGGACATTTCCACCCACACGTCGGATGACAATGGAGTTGCTGGTTTGTGCAGTCCACCTTGCACTTGTTAGGCATGAAATATTCATTCAGTGGAATAACGGCTACGCACGTCTCAATCTAGCCTCAAAGTTTTAGCGGGTGCTGGGCCACAGTGGCTGTCACCTCTCACTTAGCTAGCTCTTGGGTGAGAATGGGAGGGGAGGGACAGGAGGAGTCCTCTTCACCAGCCCTGTTAATTTTGACTCTTCCTGCAGATAGGGAGGTTCAAATAGTTAATGATTTCACCTAAGATTTGCAACTTTTAAGTGAAAATCAGCAGTATCTGCATGACCAGGGAACTTGTTAGAAATGCACACTCTCAGACTCCACCCCTGACCTACTGAATCTGTAACTCTGGGGGTGGAACCCAGCAGTCTGGGTGTATTAGCCCATTTCTGTCGCTTATAACATAAATACCTGGAACTGGGAGATTATAAGAAAAGGAAATTTATTGCTTACAGTTTCAGAGGCTGAGAAATCTAAAGTCTAGGGAACACATCTGGTGAGGGTCTTTTTTGGTGGTGGCTTTACAGCAGTTCAGGGGTCTCACATGGCAGAAAATGGCAGAGCAGAGGGAGATCGCTCCTCATGTGCTCTCCTTCTAAAGCCCTCAGAACCACGCCCATGACCACCATTAAACCATCAACTTAACCACTTCCTCAAGGCCTCAACTTTCAAATACTATAATAGGGTTTTCCACCCTCGACAGTTACCATGGGGATCAAATTTTGGGGGGACATTCAACACAAAGCACTGGGTTTTAAAAACAAATCTTCTAGGAGATTCTGATACATGCTCAAGCTTGAGAACCAGTGAGCTCAGTGAGGGACCCAGCAGCTGGGCCCTGCTTTTGAGCCCAGTCTGCTGGGTTGCCCTGGTGGGAGGAGGGGGTGCCTTCCAGATGAGGTGTAAGGCCTGACGGTCCCAGTCCTCCACTCCCCTGTGGGCCAGGAGCTCACCTGCAGGTCTTGAGAATTTATACAGTGCTTGGAATGAACAGCTAGGAAATGTCATGACTCTGTGACCCAAAACTCTCGCCAGCAGGGGCTCCCTTTGAACAGGTGATATGTTTTCCTACTCCAGTGCCACATTCTCCAGTGGAGAATGAAATAATTCGGATTGATCTTTCTATTCTGATGTCAGGAGGAAGTTTGAAGATGATGCAAGTTAGGGAATTTCATGCAGGAAGAATTTTATGACTCTTCTGATATGAAGAAACATTATGCAGGTTTTTCTGTTTGTTTTGTTAGTGTTCTTTTTTAGGTGCCTAGGGTTATGCTCACAAGAGCTGTGATCCATTCTAGGCCACACACTAAAAATTAAAGAATAAATCTGGCTCTCCCTGGGAGATGAGAAGGAAACCGTTATAAATGGGAGAAAGTAGCTGCGAGGAGCTGGAATTCTATCTAGAGGCCCAGGGGAGTCCCGAGGCATTGCCAGCAACTACAGAAAGAAAAGAAGGGTTTGCAGCCCCGATAATAAATGATAAAGACAGTAGATTTGGGCTAAATAATGAGATAGGAAATATTGATTACAACGATCAGTTCTGTTCACTGTGCCTGAATTAGTAAAAGGCAAAGCCTCTCATATAGGGAAAAGTTCTATATTCTTTATTTTCATTATTCTCCACCTATTTTGAAATAAATTATTTTCCCTCCTGCTCTGTTTTACTCAATAACCCCCAAGAAACTTTACTGCCTTCTGGCATCAATCCTGAATGAAAAATCCCAACCAAAACCAGGGAGCCGACCTCCCGACCCTGCACTGACTTGAGGAGGACACGATCACCACACAAATGCACCCTTTGTTGAGTCATCACCAAAGGCAGGAGGAGAGGCTGGTTTCCCGACACTGACCTGTGAAGGCTTGTGAAACGCCACAGACTCCATCAAACCTATCAAGTTTTCTAATAACTTTTTAATACCCCGAAGCTATAAGCTGCTTGATTTGGGCAGGCTCCAGGTCTTCTCAGGTTGGAGCTCATCTTTTCTGTTGTAGGTAGGGGATGGAGGAAAATCTGCATAATTTAGAAGTTACTCTTTTTCTGTTTTTGAACTTTCTTTGGTTTGAAGCCAGGAAGATAAATCTGAAATTCCAGGGGCTCATTGTCAAGTTCTCCTGCTGACGATTCAACTCAGTAGCTGATCCTGCGGGATCGGGTTCCCCACGTACCAATCCAAATTCCAGAACTTAGACTCTGCCATTTCCCCCACCTTCTGTCTGGCTGGTCAGTTGGAAACCAGTTGACCTGGGTTACAGACATGCCATGAACGGAGGACTCAGGTCCTGCCCAGCTGCATTTCACTGTCACAGCCAGAGCCGCCACTCGAATGCAGCTTCCTTTTATTGCTTATATTCATGGGCATAGATTATACATATGTTACAGCTTTTACAATCCTGACCCTTGAGGTCAGAGACCAGTCTCATCAAGCCACAGAGGGAAAATTCATTTTTAAGACATTTCCGGGATTCTACTTTTAAAGATGAGAAAGTGTTTGTTTATTTACTTATTTATTTATTGGTGAGTGGCCAATAAGGGGATCTGAGCCCTTGACCTTGGTGTTGCAAGACTGTGCTGTAACCAACTGAGCCAACTGGCCAGCCCCCTGAGAAAATGTTTAAAAGATGAAAGGGGATGGCTGTGGTTATAGTTCTAAATCCTAGGCTTTAACTAGTGACAGTAAAGGTACTTTTCGCAGTTAAAGCCTTGCAAAGTCATTTGTGATACATACTGTGGGGGAAGCAAGCCACTCCCTGAGTGTGGCCTGGGCTCTTCCTCTGGCTGGCAGAGTTCTCTAATCACCTGCAAGCTAGACAAGGGCACCCACAAGAGGCCCCCTCTCTGCTAAGCCTTGGTGCCCTTTGATTGCTGTGTGCTGTTTTGATTACAGGTTGTGGCTATTGATGTGGACATGGCCTTTTTTGAACCTAAAATGAGGGAGATTCTTGAACAAAACTGCACGGGAGATGAAGACTGCAATTTCTTTGACTGTTTTTCCAAGTGTGATTTGCGAGTCAACAGGTGTGGAGCACAACGGGTCAACAGCAACCTGCAGGTGGGCTGCAGCTGCGCAGACGGGGTTGGGGTCATCGCGTTCACTGTGGCTGCCTCTGCCCTCCAGCACTGCCCATCCATTTAGTAGGCCTGAAGGTCAACCTGAACACACTGGGCTCAGTGTGTTCAGTAAGGGCAGGACAGTGGGGGATGGGGTCATCATTGGTGCTTTGTTGCCCACCCCATGGGGCTGGTGATCAAGTGACCCCTGGGGGGGTATCTAATGGGTGGGTTTCTCTTCCCTGTGGCTCCACCTGGAGCTGTGGGGGCTTAGACAGATGTTGCCGCTGGGTCTAGTGTCTGCATCTACATGCTTACATGCAAAGAACAGAACCCAGAGACTAATTCATCAAGGATAAGACTGATAAGAGCACAGAGCAGTCCTGAGAAACTAGCCAAACTAGAGAGGCTGGACAGAAGCACAGTCCAGACAGGTAATGGGTCAAGGCCAATAGGTGGTTCATAGAGGGTGAAAGAAGCCAGGTCCTGGAGATCAGCAATAAGTAGGAAGCAATGCTGGGTTCAGGCATTCAAACTGGGTCTAGAGGTAGGGAGATCCCAAATCCAGGTTGAACACTCCATCAGTGGGAAAACATGTCTCTTCTTTTGGCAGAAGCTGCCCTTTCTGCCCTCCCTAGGCTCTCAGGAGGGTGAGAATAAACCTGGGCTGGCAGGTGCTGGTTACCCACTGCCTGATTGTATGTGATTGCTTGTCCAGGCTCTTGCCCTTCACTCTCCTATTTTTTAATTCTGTCCAACCTGCTCTCCTGTCAAAACTACACTATAGCTGGTCCCCCCTACAGTCCTCAAATCTAAAATGCCAGTGTGATCCCAATGCAGACCTGAAGTGTATGTAGATTAGATCAGAGCAGGCCAGAAGAAGACTGATTTCAGGAGAGCTTGACAGTTGTGTTGTTGATCTGCTGGTCCTTGGCCAGGCCAGACAAAAGCCCCGGTTCTGCCACCCCAGAGTCTATACACACTTCTAGGCCAAGTTCTAGAGTCCAAGGGGGTCTCCACTTTGAGGAAGTCCAGCAATGATGTCTTTAAAGTCGTCCCCATCCTCTTAGATCTAAGGTGGATTCACACCCTCACTGGGGTCTGTCATGAAGTGATTCTTCTTGAGCTGTGCCAACAAGATGATTTCACTTGAGCATTCATCCTCTTGTGATTTCATCCCACAAAATAGGAACAGGAACACCTGCCCTTTGCAGCATAATGACAGACTAAGGCAACATCCTTAATACAGAAAAGCCTCTCACAGATTCATTAAGAGGCTAGAGGAACACAAAGAGAAACAGATACCAAATACATAAAGGAAAAAATCCAAATAGCCAAAGAACTTGGAAAATTATTTAGTCTTACCATTCAAAGACATGCAAATTAAAACCTAATGATAATAAATTTCATTTACCCATTGGGAATAGTGATTAAAATGCTATTAATTAATGGTTGAAGCTTCAGGGAAATAGATGTGTCTATATCGTTAATATGATTGTAAATTACATCTCTTTGGAGGGTATTTGGCTGCTAGAAATATTCTTGCTACTTAGCTGAGCAATTCAATTTGTGCACATAACTGACTATTTCCTTTGAATAAAGTCCTAGAAGTGAAATTACACTTTCTTTAAAGATATGTGAAAATATGAAGCATTATTAAAGAAATTACACTTTCTTTAAAGATATGTGAAAATATGAAGCATTATTAAGTAAAAACAATGCAGGTTACAAATCAGTATTTATAATATGATCCAATTTTTGTTAAATAATATGTGATTGGAAAAGTAGGTACCAAAATGTCAAAGCAATTATTTCTGAATGGTAGAATTACAGATGATTTGTATTTTCTTCAACTTTTCTACATTTTGTAAGATTTCTACTTTTTTAACTTAAAAAACAATCCCTGTCCTGCATAAATTGACAAATCAATAGAGTAGAATAAACAATTTTCAGAAACAGACCTAATGATGTATGGGCATTTGGTCTGTGATCAAGGGGGCATTCAGACCACCGGGAGGAAGCTGGATTATTTAATGACTGGTGCTGGTACATTGGGTAGCCAGGCACAACAAAAGATCAAATTAACTCCCTGTTTCACCCCTTCTGTCAAACTACATTCCAGATGGCTCAAATTCTTACATAGAAAAATGAAATACTAAAAGTACCAAAAGAAAACTTGGAGAATTTTAAATATTAACCTCCTGTAGGGAATGCTTCTGTAAGTGTGGAACAAAGCTCGGAAGCCACAAAGAACAGTTGACAGACGTGACTACCTAAAAAATAATTCACATTGGCAAAACAAAAGTACAAAAAATATCAGCAAACTTAAAAGTAAAATGAGAAAATTTGCAAAGTATGTGCAATTCCCCTTACAGACCAGGAGTGTAGAGGACGGATGGAAGATCATGCCAGGTTGCTGGGGCTCGTGTGGGTTCCCCTCAGGCCCATCCCTGGTCCACCAGAGCTTCTTTGCCAAGGTCACACCCACTTCCTGGGGGCAGCATCTAGTGACTGGGGGAGGGCTGGATGCGAAGCCCAGACCCTTTGCCTCCATAAAGGACAACACTCAGGGCCATCCCAGCCCAACTCCGTGGAGGTGTGGTTCCCGAGAACACCCCTCAACAAATCCCTGCGTGCACATGTCCATCTCAGAGTCCACTTCCTGGGGAACCAACCTAAAACAAGGGGCTCGTGTCCTTAAGATACAAAGAACATCTGCAAACTAGTAAAAGAGGCCAACAACCTGATAGAAATTCGGGGAAAGGATATAAACTCAACCATTCACTGAAAAGGAAGTGCATGTCGCTTTCAACCTGTGAAAAGAAAAATGCAAATTAAACTATTTTCACCCATCTGTTGGCAAAATGAAGAGTCTGTGACACTTGTTTTGGAGGCCATGGGGGTTGCTGAGGGAGTGTCAATTGGTACAACTCTTATTCTGTCACACGTGCAAAATGACAATGGCATATATATGCGAGATACCTACTGCAGCAGTGTTCCTCACAGCAAAAGTTAGTAAACAGCCTCCGTTTCCATCAATGCAGAATGGTTAAATAATTTATGATACAGCCACACATCTGAGATGCAGCCATTAGAACAAATGGGATATCCTTACAAGAGTGGATTTGGAGGGGCCTCCCTGATATGTGGCCAAATGGAATGGAAGCTTTAGAACAGTATGTATGATATGCTACCATTCGTGTAAAAGAAAAGAAAACGGAAATACCTGTACAGACTTGTGTAGGCATAGACGCTCTAGAAAAACATTCGAGGGAGTGGTTGCCTCTCGGGGGGTAAAGCCGGGGGTCAGGACTGAGATTACAGTGTGTCCTTCAGGACATTTGAAATTTTGCTCACGAAAATGTATTCCCTATTTAAAAAAGAAATAAAATAAATTGTTTTTGAGAAGAACCCTGCCTTTGTGGGCATTGGGAAATCGAAGTTAGAGTTCTGCGTCCTGTGTAAGACAGGAGCTCTGCAGATGGAGGCATTCGCTAAGGGAGTCTGATATAAAGTATGATGTAGAAAAATAAAGCACTATTAGTGACGCCACTCCTGGGCCAGGTCCCCCACAGGAGGGAACTTATGAAAGGTGTGAAACAAATAACACATTTAAACTGGGAATTTTAAGAGCTCTTTAGCATCAGTGAATTTCATACCCTAGAATTAAAGGCTATGAGATGGTGGCTTAATTTTTACTTCTGTTCCTAAAAAAAAAAAAAAAAAAAAAAAAAAAAAAAAAAAAAAAAATTTCCAAGGCCCTTTAAATGAGTCATTTGCCTGCAGCTTTTCCCTCAAATACACCTTTTTTTTTCCGTGAGCCTTCAAGTGCTGCTTAGGGAACAGCTCACACCTGCGTACTGCTCTTCACTAACAGCCACAGGACCCGCAGGACAGCCCTGCCAGGCGGCGACCTCGTTCCCACAGCCGCCACCGGGGCTAAGAGAGCCGCGTGCAGGTGTGGCAGAGCAGGGCTGCCCCGCGGCCTGCAGAGGGGCCACGTCCTCCCGCAGCAGCTACCGCCTGTGACGCCTGCTGCCCTCGCTCTCAGAACCGTGTTCCGTCCCTGTCTGCAGTGCCACCCAGAACGTTCCCCACCTGCTGCGGGGCTGGAACTGGAAGGAGGCAGCCTCCTTCTTTCTGAGGCCAGTTTGTTCACGGTGCCCAGCGGCTTAAGTGTGGGAAGAAAAGCGCTTTTCAGAATCCAAGGGTCCCCGCGGTGCCAGCAGGGGCTGGGCGGGGGACAGAGGGCTGGGTCAGGGCTGGGTCAGGAGCGGCTGCGGCCGGGGACGCTTTCGAGGGTGACCTGCTGTCCTGGAGTAACGCGCGCCTTCTCTCCCGCAGGTGGTGTGTGACAAGATATTCCGCCGCTGGCTGTCCCCAGCGCTCGAGAGCTCGGCCGTGTCCCTGCGGCTGCGGCGGCGGCTGCGGGCGGCGGTGCGCGGGTGCGCAGACCTGGGGGGCCCCGCC